CTTGTTCCAAGCACTTTTCACACCTGTTCCTCAAAGAATTAAAGACATTTTCTAAGATGCTCGAGGTAATGTTAATTTCACAAATCTTGTCTATAAGTCGAGCCTGCAGATGGTTTAAATTAGGAATAGGCAGTTCAAAAATAGTGTTTTTAAGGTAAGGCCACAAAAAGAAATCACACGGCGTAATATCACATGACCTCGGTGGAAATTCATGTTCAGCATTGAGACTTATTAGTCGATTTTGGAAAACTTCCCTCAACATCTTCATCGTCTCGCCTGCCGTATGTGCCCTTGCGCCATCTTGTTGAAAGTAAAAGTTTGTAATTTCGTTTTCTTCCAGCTGGTTAACAAAAGGAGCGATAATTCCTTCTCTATACCTTTGCGCAGTAAGAGTACCATTAAAAAAAATAGGTCCATAAATCCTCCTTCGATTGAGAGCACACCAAACTCCAATTTTTTGAGCGGCCCTCGACAAAAAAGTTATCTGGTTTTTCAGAAGACCACATTCTCATATTCTGTGAGTTTACGTAACACTTAAATGAAACCCGGCTTCATCAGAAAAAAAGGTGATATTATGAAGTTCACCGTTGTTTAAAAACCATTCACAAAATACAGCCCGTCGCGGAAAATCAACTTCATGAAGTTCTTGCTGACAAGTTAAACGATAGGAGAACAAACGCAAATCTTTTTTTAACACTGTGTGGCAGGTACTGACTGATACTCCCACCATTTGTGATAAAACACGTACAGAAGTTCTTGGCGCATTTTCCATTATTTGTTGGACATTTTCTTTTAATGCTTCAGTCCGCTTTTTAGGTCGGCCGCTTCCTTCTTTTCTTGTTACACTGCCCGTTTCACGAAAAACATTAACACAACGCTGAACTGCACTTTGAAAAATTTTATACTCTACAACGTCGGGAAATTGATTTTGAAATTTTATGAAACATTCCTCAATAGAATACTTCCATATTCCATCAGTCTTGCGTCCATTTCTAAAGTAGGACTCTATGATAAACACTTTTTGTTCTTGAGAAAACACCATTTTAAACGCATTTTAAAACGAAAATATTCAAATTGATAGCGGCGATATAGCGCTTTGACAGATGACGTTTAAGTTCATTTGCTATACGCTACGCCCTACGTCCAAATTTTCAGAACCAACTTGACCACGTTTTTATTTGAACGCTCGTTATATCTATAACAACAATCTTTTCATTGCCTCGCAGTCCCTTATGCCCCCGTACTCAAGTTAGGGTCTAGTCGTACTGCAGCAGTATCCGTAAGTAGTATTGCGGATGATCTATCTGCGGATGATATAAACCAAGATTTTCTAGGATGCAATATTTTCGAAAGTATTGACCTCTACAACCTGGATTATACTTTCCCCATTTCGATAATTTACGAAAAATTGGTTATGAAGTGTCGTTTGATGAAGTGACATGAATTTTTGACAAACATGTATATTTATCGGTATTATCAATGTCATGAGTGCTCATTTTAAGAGGCTTCACAAATTTCGCTCATCTTCGACGATTTTATCCGTCCGGTAAAATTCTTCCAAGCAAAATTATGTGAAACTGAAATATCATAGATTTATAAAGATAGTAATACGGTATTTAGCTGTCAATTTCCCATTTCTTGCTACCACCACCGACTATGCTACTTTGTAGTTGAACATATCAGTTGTGCAGTTAAGTTGTACTACAATTTTAGTCTGTTTTAAAATAACAATTCCGCTACCTAAGTCAGCCATACTCCGAAGACAGCAGCCTTTGCGTAGATAAATTAGTTCTCGTTACTTTGTCTCTTCCACTCTTTGGCGAAAATCGTTGTGTACATCTCAACTTTAACACTTTTGTTCGAAACAACATTATTAATCAAATACCTAGTAGAATCGTCGAGGATGAATTAAGTGTAAGGGGCTTCCAACTCATCTCTCTGCAACACGCATCAACAGAAACTGCAGCACCTGCAGCTTCTTCAAGGGAATTGAATATTTAAAACGTTTTTTTTTTGCTCTATATCTAATAGATTTAATATAATTTTATATATTTTTATATATCGACGTCTTCTTGACAGCTGATATATGTAGTCTATATCATTATTACTTAAATTTAGATCATGAAGAAATTTAAAAACTATTTCCTTTTCAGAAAAATAAATGGGTATATTGTTTAGAAAAGTGTTTTATTATGTTTTATTGATTCTATTATTTAAATATGGAGCTTTTATTATTTTTCTATCAGTAAATCTAGCGTAATTCGCAGAATTTAATATTTCAGGAAGGGTACCAGTTATGTAGTCACTAACAGATATTTTAGAATGCACACAAACGACAACAAAATCGAATTCGTCGACAGTTATCGCAAAATTTCGAATTTGAAATAGATGTTTGTCACAAATTTTTACGGAATTAATTCTTTATATAATAAATATTTTCTTAAATAAATAACAATTGTAGACAAACTAATGTACAGAGCCTTCATAAATGATTAGAAGCCAGGTGACCGCCGAGGTTAGGCAACCAACATTGCACGACTGGTAATATCAACTAAAAATCCCTAAATCTTAGCGTCATCAATATTAATGGTTAGTTTATATTTACAATGAACAATGACAAACCGTTGCGTCTACGCTGGAGTTAATGCGTTGGCTGATTCAATGAATAAAATCTTGTGAAAAATTACACCAATCACTAATGTTGTTTTTTAATGTAAGTTTGATCTTACTGTTTTAATAATTTTTAATTTTACCGAAATTGAATGGCCAACATGAAATTACCATTCCAAACAAAATTATTAGTCATGTGGCTTGTAATCCTTTATGAAGGCTTTGTATATAACATATGTAAGAAGTTTGTTTATAGCATTTACCAATGTTCATGCCGTATGCTATAGACATTAATTGTTGCACAGATACACAAAATTTCTGTAACTGTTACGTAGTATAAAAGATGGTACAATTTTTTCTATAACTTTATAACTTATTATAATCTAATCCACCATTAAACACATAAAGCCTGAATCGATTTTCTAAATAACAGGTACGGATTTTAGTAAATGCGTAATATAATAAGGAAGTTTTAGAATCATTTTTCTTTCTCTCAGACGTAACGGAAATATGACTAAGAGTGTATCGTACGTAAACGTAGTATGTTACTGCGACTTCGTACTTGTTCATATACGAATGTTCAATATTCCAGCAAGTTAACGCATTTCACAATATTCGATATAATTTGCAGAACAGGCAGTCTCGAGTTGGTAAATCCACATACATCAAAGTGCCCGAACAATTTGTCTGCCCGCTCTGTTAATCAACTTTAAGCGATATATGTGAACAAATTTTCTTATCCGGCCCATTTTCGCATATTATGTGGATTAAAATTGTGTAGTCGCTGCAAATATTCGGTAGGTATAAAGGGTGTCCCAAAAGTAACGCAGGATTTAAATTGTGCACCATTTTCATTTCGAAATGTTGGCAGCATCGTGCAATGTCACATGGTTTAGTAAACACGTTGCGGTTAGATAAAATGGAGCGGTATACGACGGATGAGCTAGTGAAGATTGTGAAAATTCATTGCAAGAACGGAGAGTGTGTAGTTGAGACTGTGCGCAGATTACGTGGAATTTTCGGTAGAAGGAACGCCCCGAATGCAACAACTGTGAATAGATTAGTTGCCAAATTTGAATTAACAAGTTCTGAACAAGCGGGCCTCGTATTGGCCGTTCATCTGAAAGGTGTGAGTGGTTTTTGGAATACAATTTGAGAAAACCATATGATGTGTGAAAGATGTTTCCTTTTTTTCTTTGGAGATCTTACAGAGTAATCAGAGTATCGGTTAACAGAAAGGAGTTTCATTTGTGAGGTTTATCCTTTTTTTTTCTGAAGTCAATATCACAGAACATGATAAAACAAGGCAGTGGCCAACCAGGAAAAATAATGCCTCCCCTCGGGTCTACCTAATTCCAGATGTTTGGTTAAGAGCCTGATGTATTGTGATAGACATTTATTAATTTACCTAGTTGTGTTTGCGATCAGGTGAGGTATGACTCATAAAAATGTCGGAAGGGTAGGTATGTACTAAATTTGACAGTCTCCTATTTAAACCACTCGATGGTTATGGCAACAGTTTAATTATTGTAGCTTACTAAAGGTGATAATATGATACTCTTGATACAGGAATTATCTCGCAGAAAAACTTGATCTGAAAGTATAATAGGGCAAGGTACAGAAGTTCCATAATATCCTGGATAGAAAATTAGAGCTACTGCCAGAAGCAGTAGCGCTCATAACCGTAACAACAATGTGAAAGACATACCTACCTTTCCAAAACAAAATTAGGATGACGTTTACCATGCTTTCCAGCCTGATCACCTGACCATTATGCATCTCTTGTACAAAACTATGCAATTTAAACGTAGGTAATATGTTCCCTCTTTTCAATATTGGTTAGACCAAAGTCTAACGTGACTTACTGTACTTCCAAACCTAAACTAGTTTTTCGGCCTGGCCACCGATGTAACTGGGTTACAGTCAGACTGCCGTATCGTCTTTTGCTATGACCACCAAGAATTTCAGATCTTTTCCTTATCGTGTGATATATCCATTGGCAAATCTGCCACATTCCACTTTGACTTTGGCAATACTTCACGAGTACCCTGGATAAGCTAACCTTACGGGGTTATTGTTCATTTAGTTACAAGCATGAATGTTCAAGGCAACCTGGCAGACTATATTATTCAGACTGATTTCAAATTTTTGGGAATTATTTACTACAACTCCCTAAATCTGTAAACTAAAAATTATTATTGATATAAGAATACAAGTAGTGGGTATTGAGTTTTATATATCAGTTAGTATGTATAAGTGTACTTATATTCCTAAATAATGTTGAATTAATTAGAATTATCTTGTTAAGGATTACTGGAAAACGTTTAAGGAATTCTCATTTAGCCATGTTTTAAATGAAACATTTATTTATAAAAAAGTGTTATTTCAAAATAAGGTCAACAATAAATTACAACTAAAAAATTATATATATATATACAACGTTTCTTAATTTTAAGTCAGTTCCCATACGTTTTTAACCCTAATAGTACCAAATTGTTGTCCTCCACTACCACTGGCAACCGGTGTTTCCACATTTGCAGTCTGCACCGTTGTCGTAGACGAGGATGTTGTACTTTGAAGAGCATTGTTTAGCAGCGGGTTCACGGTTATGAAATTGGAAGATGAGGTGTGTGAGGCAGTCGTTATTGGACTGAGCGAGCTTGTGTTAACACGGATGAATTTCGATGTAGTTGTCAACTGTGGAGGTCTACTGGAAATCCCAGTGGAATGGTACGTCGCCGTAGATGGCAGAATATTCTGGTTATTAATATTCTCATTTGAAACCACTTTGGAACTAACCTTTACATTTGATGGTTTAATGTCCATGACGTTCAGGTCGCTCCACAGACATAACTTTTTGGGCGGTCTTTGTTCAGCGGTATATTTGAAGCATACGTTGAAAATGCCATTCTTTATAACAATAGGAATTTTATAAACGTGCAGCTGCGGTTTAAGTAGTTTCAACTCGGCACTCATGTCCAGACGATTCAATAAAATCGATTCGTTGACTGGCAATTCGGTTTGAATGTTCTTTTCGGCGTAGAGATGCACAGGTCGGTAATGAGTCAAAAGTTCTTTGAGCACTTTTATATCTGTTAGTCTCGCGTCTATCAGGTCCAAGGCACAATTGCCCTTTATCTTGATGTCCGGTCTTACTATAGACACTGTGTTATACACTATATTTTCTACTTGAGGAAGTTGTGCGGTATTTAGCGTAGGAGTTGCCCGCGACGCCTGTGACGGAGGTACTGATGTGGCATTAACTGAAAGAGGTCCTTTAACAATATTGGATGATGAAGATTCCTCATCATCAGAGAGAATTTCTATAATTTCACAAGATTCTGACGTAACAGTTAGTTTTTGAGGGTTATCCTTAGGCACGACATTAACATTAAGGTCTTTGGCATCTACTGGTCCTATTGCACTAACATTTACATCACTTTTCGTTTCCGAAATATCTTCTATTTTTACACCTTTAAGCGGAGAAAAACCTTGGAAAGTTTCCGGATATTTTCTTCGAGCCCACTCATTGAATTCAACCTTTGTAAGTTTAACATCTGGTAAGTTGTTCATCATATTTTTGATGGAACAAGTCTTATTCAAATGCTCGTCTTTGTTTTCAAGGCTACGGAATTTCATTTTGCAGAATTGACATCGGAGGTGTTTGTTTTGATGTTTCCTCAAATCTTTAGAGCTGTACTGAACCGAATTGCATATTTCACAGATAAATAACGGCACTGACTTGTTCGCTATAAATGTCGGTGTCCCCCCACAAGATTCTGCTACTTTCGGAGTTAACCCCAAAGATTGGGCGAAATTAGTCTTTTTGAATTCCTTTTTCTCTACTTTATCAATTTCGGCAAGTTTTCTTTTGTTTGAAGAGGGTTGTTCTTCGATATTCTTTATGGAAATATTACTATTACACTTAATATCAGGATGAACAACATTATCAGTGGTAGGTGGTGGAGGAGGTAGATTAATTTTCAGAGGAATAGGAACTTCTTCCTTCATTTCTGTTTTAGTTTTCCGTTCGATTTTAATAATTTTTGATGCGGTGGCGATTTTATGCAGCGAGGAAGTTCTTTTCGTAGCAACCTTTCCGGATCTTAAAGCTAGTTTGGTATATTTTTGGAAATCTAGTTTACGAGATGTGAAATACTGCTCCACCTGATCCATTTTCATAGACACACACGGGGCCATATTGTACTTCAAGCATACAGTAGGTAGTTTAATCTGAGGATACATCTTGAACAATTCTCGTACGCTGGGATGTATTTTGTTAAATACTTTCACTTCCTTCTTCGCTTCAACATCCTTCTTTGGACTGACGCTTTCTGCATTAACAGTAACCTTGGGATTGTTTTTTACTTCACTTCTTATGGTTACTTGAGTGTTGGGGATTTTTATCTCCTTATCCCTTAAAAACATCTTGCATTGCTCCTACAAAAAATATATATATTTGTAGTTCAAATATAGTAATGTTTTAATATATTTTTTAAATTCAGATAGTGAAACACGAAGCTCTTTAATATACAGTGTCGGAAAGTCCCCATGGTTCATCGGCCGTTACGTGAGAGCGATAAAGAAAGTCATAGAAATCCGTGGGATAGAGAAAGATGGCTATAATGAAGGCGTCTAATAGTCACCGCCCATTTCACCCTTATTCCACGAATAAGAAGTGGATCTTATTTGCGGAAGGGTGAAATGGGCGGTGACTATTAGACGCCTTCATTATAGCCATCTTTCTCTATCGCACGGATTTCTATGACTTTCTTTATTGGTCTCACGTAACGGCCGATGAACCATTGAGACTTTCCGACCCTGTATAACTTAAATAAATTAATGAACATGTTATACTGGGTAGGAAAGTACCGATGGTCTATCTGAAGTTACGTGAGAGCGATAAAGTAAGCCATAGAAATCCTTGTGATAGACAAGGATGGGTATAGTGAAAGCGTCTAATAGTCACCGCCCATTTCGCCCTTCCACAAATAAGAAGTGGATCTTATTTGTGGAAGGGCGAAACGGGCGGTGACTATGAGACGCCTTCATTAAAGCCATCCTTCTCTATCGCATGGATTTCTATGGCTTACTTTATCGCTCTCACGTAACTTCAGATAGACCATCGGTACTTTCCTACCATGTATAAATAAATATTTACTTTTAAATGTAGATCATTTTTCAAAGATGTTCTTCTAAACTCGAACATTTTAATGGTAACCTGGCAACATTTTTTACAAATCTTCTGAGATATGATATCGTTGACGGTGATCTGTAACAAAATTAAAATTATTTATTAAACAATATTATACATAGTTATTATTTAATGACTAATTAATTAGTTTATTAATTTTCTCCCTTCTCGGACCTTCTTTAGATAAGAAATTCAGCATTTTAACCATACAAGTTGGACTAACAAATTTCAGTGTCATGAAAAATAAACTCAAAAGTTGTTTTTTAAAATCAATATATCAAAATATTGTGTAAATCTGAAAATATAAATTTTTAAAACACTAAATAATTTTTAATAAAGGGCAATATTAGTAACATTGCAACAACAATACGTTAAATCATTCTATAATTTCAACAGTAACCAAATAGTTAGGCGTTATCTTAAAAATGCATAAAAATTCTAGATATACCTAACATATGTATTTTAAGTGCTTTCGCCACTATAACACAACAGCAAACGCCCAATTTTAGTGCATATCCTAAATAGAATATATGAAACATGTGCCTTTCTATGTTCTATGTAATAGTCAAGTTGCAGGAAATGATAATAACTTATTGGTAACACCTCGTATAAAGAAATAACAAAATGACGTACATCAGCCAATTTGATCAAAACATTAAGATTTATCACAAGTGAATAATATTGCTATGCGTTTTATTAATTTTATTTCTACAAATAAAAACAATTTAATCATTTTCATGAAGTTAGTTTTTCAGCAGAACACGACACTACTATAATATATTGCGATGACCCTATATCTAAAGGAACCACAAGATGGCCGCCGTACATCAGCTGATCAGTTTTGAAATTATTTCTATTTATGACAAATGAGACAGATGTTGATCACGTAAATAATATTTTGTATAAATAATGTACAAAATAGTTCTTAAATAATTGCTTCATTGTTCATTAATGTATATACTACTTTAGACACAGCAACGTTACCATATTGAGAAAGCCCTATACAAAATAACAAGATGGACGAACGGTACGTACCTCTACACCAGTTGTGATGTAAATAACGTCTTTCATATTGTCGCTGCTCTCAAATCGTTTGTCGAATATCCATACGAGATCGTCTTCGGTCAGACACAGTCTACACACGTCCTTTATCGCCATTTTTACCAGCATTACAATACAATATCAGCGAAAGCACCGTCCGAACCACACCCGGTTGCTACGCCAACTGTTCGACTAGCATTGCCAGCCGTCGGCACTGTCCCGGGTTTTAATATGAAACGGTTGAAGCGGAGGGAAATTGTAGACTGTGTCGGCGCCGGAGAGAAAAGGTACGGTTATTCGGTTCCGCATTCGGCAACCGTCGTCTATCTGTTTCGTCTATTTCGATCGGCCATGTCCAACGGGTGACGGGTGAGTAGAACTGGGAATGGGATTGTTGGGATGACAGCATTGTAATAAATGTAAATCATTTATTGGTATTGGATCTATTTCGTACATATTTAAATAGCTAAGAAATAAATTAATATATTTATTTATTACTTTGTAATTGTTATTAACAAACGTTTTATAAATATTTGGTAGGTGGATTTTAACTTTTTTGATGTAAGTATAATTGGTTGTATATACAGACAACTTTTAATTATAATAAAAAATATATGATGGAAAAATGATATCAAACCGCGGTATCTACGTTTGTTATTGAGTGCGTGGATTAAAATTTCGGTAGAACATACTTATAGCACACAGCAAAAAAATTTGCAAAAGTCTTTTACGCAAAATAATGACATCTATAACGTAACTAGTTATTTGGAAGTAAAATATTCCTCGCCAATAAACTTGATAATGTTCAGCAATATTTAATATTCTCATTATTCTTCCATAGTTTACGCTAATAAATAGGTATACTTGTCTAAGTATTTTCGTGTTTGGTATTTTTTGAAAAAATTATACGGGGTTTCTTTAATGGCATATTCTTTGTAATTTTTTATCTAAATTCTCTGATGTTAAATTTAAATTTGACATTTACGAAGAAGAAAAAGGAAACATGGCCGATTTGGTAGTGTTGACATAGCAGACATGGTGAAATAGCGTTGCCAGATTGTCACTTTTTCAGATATGTCAGGGAACTTTAATCTGTTAATGGAACATCCTCTATATTTTTACTTATGGATCATCCATAATGGATGTAACATATTTTGTAGTAATATAAAGTTTGATATATTTATCCTTAATAATATAATTATAGTACAAGTTATCCGCAGGCTACCGCTTAGTAGCATATTCGTGGCGCATATTCCGGAACATTGACCGTGCGTCTTCGGGACATATAATTTCGTACCTATTTGCTGGATATTTTATTTTACATCATACGGAGGATACCTCATTATTAATGTGATAGTTTATCTTTTGGAATATCCCTGGGATGAAGTATCCAAACATCCTTGGGTTGATAGACATACAATGTTTATTTTTTATATCTATGTATCATTTACTGCGCAGACGTCAGACTGTGAAAGCGGTGGTGGAATACAACAGTCGCTATATTGTTGTTGTTTTTCGTTTTTATGACATTGTGTACATTTTTATTTCCAGTCAGTTTGTTGTCACTGTTAAGTTTTATTGACAATAAATATGTTGCGTCACTTAAATAAAATATTTTAATTAGGTGTTTTTACTTTACACACAACTATTATCTTTAATTCGATTTTTAGCTCTTGACATAACCTACATCTTTAAATTAGAAAATGAAAACACTCTTTGTTGTTGTCAAGCGTTCGGAAATGTTTATTCCCTTTCTCAAGACATCTATAAAATATAATTAGAATAATAAGTTATAAAAGCTTATTGAATACTTACAAACGTGAGATTAAAAACGGGAAATATAAAAGCATTGTTAGAATGTTTATACATTCACTAATTAAAAAAAAAACTATTATAAATAACTATAGTCACATTATTAAAACAATTTTCGAGTAAATTTACACATTTAACGAAAAATACAATAAAAAGGAGCCATGCTTACTTAAGAGGGATAATTAGCATTTCCAACTACAGTACCAATTTAAAACGGAGGCGGCAAACCACTTCAAATTTGAAAAAGACGTTGTAGGTAAATTTCTATATTTATCAAAATATACGTAATAAAAAATTATATATACTACTCAATTTATTAATATCAGACTTTTTATTCAAAGCATTTGAAAATTTATTGATACGAACCATTTCCAAAAAAAAAAACACGTTTACTATATTTAATTTCATTCTCTAAGACTCTGACACCGTTTATTTCCTGTACTCTGAAAGGGCACAGTACGTTTTTTTTAAATTACAAATCACTTGTGGGATGTAAGTCTACTTTTTAGCGTACGACACGTTTGTCCAATGTATGTCTGGTTGCAGTTAAAACAATCAATTTTATATACATCACCCGATTTTTCTAATTTATAGTAAAGTTCTTTAGTTTTGGAAAAAACTCTACTACAAGTAAATTTTTAAAACCAATTTTTACATTTAAATCCTTCATAATGCACATTAATTTTACCGCTAGTTCTTTTAAAAACAAGAAAGATTTATATTTGGGAACAATGATTTGGGAATTGTTATTAGTTTCCATGTTGTTATCTAACAATCTATTATGTAGATTTTCTGGGAGAATTCTTACTCCTGCAACTTGCAACGAACTTTAAGTTTCTTTTTACCTCTTCCAAAAACTTTGAGACAATAAAATGACGACTAGGTGTTAGGTACTTCAAAGTAATTTTGAATTTGATAGCATCATACAACAGTAAAAATAAATATTTAAATTAAATTTGGTGGCTATACCAATAACTTTTTTTAAATTTAAGATTAACTACTGAATTTTGGGATTTTTCAAAACAACAATGAAAAAGTTGAAGTAAAAAACCCCATGGAGCCAAGCGTGAGTTATTGGGCCTGAAGAGATTGCAATTCACCCCTCTTTTCGGCTAATTCAATTTGGCAAACGATGTACCAAACACCTTGTATATTCAGGGCATGCGGATCGGTGATAGAAAATTTGCTTGTCGAAAACTTTTGGGGAACTTCGCCAATGTCAAAAAATAATTTTTTGACGGAAGCAGTGGTTGGTTTAATAAAAGTAACGCAAATACTTAAGGAAGTAAGCAAAATTCAGTAGGTAAATAAGTAACTAAGAAATGTACTACGCATTTCAGTGTAGTATCGCCGAATACTTATTTTCTAGTCAATTGTTTTTATTTATACAAGGCGCGCAAAAAAGATTTGATATTGGCTGGAACAAAACAACTATTTTATTATTTATTTAACATGTTTATTTTATTGAATTGTTCATTCTCTTCCTTAGACAAAACACTAAAACCTATTCGGCGCTATTTACGAGATCTTAATTTTTAATTTTAAATTTTCGCCAAATATAATCTAGATCTGTATAACTAATAATAAATAACACAGGTCAACAAGAGTCAAGAAGCAGACACACTAATATGCATTCCTGAAGGATTTTGGTGCGCTGAATCCGAATCTGGCCGCAGAATTGCTCTATCACGTCAGGTTTTTGAGATATCCTAACTTAAAAGTGCAAAAAACACTGTTTTTCGTCATATTTGAGATTATGTAGTAATGACGTGCTAAAGCAATTCTGCTGCCAGATTCGGATTCAGCGCACCTAAATCATTCGGAAATATATATTCAAGTTTCTGCTTCAAAAAAAAAAAATTAAATTTTGTTGGTCTGTGTAATTATTATTAATAGAATCTTCTTTTATAATGAACAAGGTGCTTGAAATCATTATTATATCGAACTCATTAACTAAAATACCCAGGAGAATACCTAATAGAAGTCTTTAAGAAGGGATGGAATACTAATCTGATTATAATCAGGTACAGTTATTTATGTGATTTAAGTTTAATATCCTCATTAATTAAATGTAAATTTTTGATACTAATAACAAGCAGTACAAGGGAAATAATTCATATAGGTATACGCATTTCGTATTGTTCAAAGGACTTTTGACTGTTAGTAAGAGTACAATTTATGAATTACTAACCATATTTTATTTACCAAATATCTCAGGTAATCTTGAGCTATTCTGAATGCTGATTGGTCAATTAAGTAAGATCAACCTCTCAGGTAAATAATACACAAACTATTGCTATATTGAAAAACATAAACTGCAAAACTGAATTAGGAAGAGTGAAGGATGTACACAGAGTGATTCAATCATGTCATTAATTTTAACCGCGTAGGTATAGGTATAGGTAGACAGAAAATTGAAAAAAAAAAAAAATTATCCGACCTTTTAAAAAATAAGCAAATAATCGCTTTAACTCCCGCTAATTCGGCGCTCTACTCCGCGACAAGGAACGCGCCGGCGCGACGGCGGCGGCGGCGGCGTGTTCGAGGTTCGAAACGAAACAACTGATTTTGTATCCAGTCATCTAAAATTTTGCAATTAGTTTGAAAAGTGCAGCGGATCCTAAAACTTTAATAACAAAGCTAGGGACGAATGAGTGAGTGTTAGTTTTAGCTCATTTTAAATAGAGCATAGTAGCATAGTATCATAGAGTACTCTTTCATTTGATTCTAAAAAAAAAGATGGCGCAATTAGCGATTTACCAATATGAGAGAGATGATATTATTTGATCTTTTTTTTCTGGGGTGGGCGCCGAGTTTTCTGGAGTGGGCCGTGCACATCCCTGCCCTCTCTTAAGTATGCCCATCATTGAAAAGCAATAAGTCACACAATAAGGTATACGTACTACAAACTGAATAATTAATTGAACATATCGATACCCTCGAATATATTTTTTTGATATTGTCTCGATTACAAGTATGGATGAGGGCACAAAACAAAAATATAGTTTTTAAGATTCTTATAAGAAGTAACGTCTTCGATAATACCACAGCCTTATCTAGGCTGTGATAATACCACACTGTTTAGTTTTTATCACATGGTTTCCCATTATATGGTTTTTATCATTGGAGTAGTTTAGTTTATACCTAAATATGACCAATTTTTTCTTTACATTACAATACATAGTCCCTTCCTGTAGCTCGAACAGAGTAATAACCAGGGGGTGTCAACTGATATAGACCGAAAGGAACATAATAAATTTGAATAAATATGTCAACGAGGTAGGGTATAAAGATAGCCAAAGATCTGCCAATAAAGGAGGAAACAATTTTGTAAAGACATTGACAAAGATAAGGTGGTTAAGCCGTTTTCAGATGAATATAGAAATATACAAGTGAACGAGAACTTCTTTCGTATTGATTGCAAAACTG